CTGCAGCTGCTGGGCAGGGAACTGGGGCGAGCCAGCACCATGGGCACTGACCTGCGCCCCGTAGACGCTGCAGCTGCTGGGCAGGGAACTGGGGCAAGCCAGCACCATGGGCACTGACCTGCGCCCCGTAGACGCTGCAGCTGCTGGGACAGTCCCAGCCCAGCAGATGCCATCGGGGTTGTCGCCTCCGTGAGCAGATGGCATCACCAAGTGCTCTGTCTTCCTCTGCAGCTGGTGTACCCAAACGACTTCCGGCTCACAGACAAGGAGGTGAGTCCTCGCCCTCTTGGGAATGGACGTGACCCAGGAGTGAGTCGGCCCTCACTGGGTTTTGTATGTTTCAGAAAAGCAGCATCTGCTACCTGTCCTTTCCCGACTCACACTCAGGTAGGCGACCCCACCTTTCCTGGGGCTGGACATGGAGCCAGCTGGGAGTCCCTGTAGCCCAGGCCAGGGGCATCACGGCTGCCTAGGCTGCCTGCAGTGCACAGAATGCCACAGGGTGGGCAGCACCAGCCCCATGCCCACGCAGCATAGGCGCCCAGATCCCCATGTTGCAGCCAGGTCCCCAGGTACATGTGGAAGGGGTGTATCTGGGCAGAAGGACCAGCAGTCAGTCTCCTACACCCCACACAGCGGCCACCAGGAGCAGGGCCCCCCTCCCGCTCCCACCCCGGGGCACAGATGTCCTGGTTTTCTGTCTCAAGCAGGTCGGGCCAATCTCCCAGAGAAGTTGAAGGTGCTTCTCTGTGCAAATATATTCTTTTTTTTTTGAGATGGAATCTCGCTCTGTTGCCAGGCTGGAGTGCAGTGGCACGATCTCAGCTCACTGCAACCTCCGCCTCCTGGGTTCAAGTGATTCTCCTGCTTCAGCCTCCTGAGTAGCTGAGACTACAGGCTCGCTCCACCACGCCTGGCTAATTTTTTTGTATATTTAGTAGGGAGAGAGTTTCACTATGTTGGCCAGGATGGTCTTGATCTCTTGACCTTGTGATCTGCCCACCTTGGCATCCCAAAGGGCTGGGATTACAGGCGTGAGCTACCATACCCAGCCCTTGTGTGAATATATTCTAAGACACTAGGTGCAGGGCAGGCAGGAGTCAGGATAGGAGCCTGCTGGGAAACAGACCCCTTCGGCTGGGCATTCTTTCTGGGGCATTTTTACCAGCAGAGTCCAGGCTCACGGAGCCCTTGGCCCTGGTCCCCAGCTCCGGGGCCTGTAAGAGAGGCTCCTGGCCCTGACTCGCATGGTGGGGCTGCCCCTTTTCAGGCTGCCTTGGAGACACTCAGTTCAGCTTCCGCATGCGCCAGTGTGGAGGGCAGAGGAGCCCCTGGCATGCCAACGACAGGCACTACCACAGCAGGGCCCCCGTGGCGCTGCAGGTGAGCGCTGGACTGCCTCTCTGACCTGCTTCTCCTCCCCTGCTCCCCACGGGCCCTGCCAGGGTCAGGCTGGTGTAAGAAGCCCCTTCAGAGTGCCTGGGCCCTGTGTGGCAGGAGAGGAGCTGGCCAGGCCCCCTGGTCCTGCAGCCCTAGGCACCAGCCCCAGCTGAGGATGGGCTAGCTCTTCCAGGGTCTCTCCAGGGTCCTTGGGGCTTTTCCTTGGCACCACACATCCGTGGCTGGGCATCTGCATAGTTGAACAGGGGCCCATGCTGGTCTCCCAGGGCTCCCAGCCCCCAAAGCTCCTCTCCGCCAGCTGATTCCGGGCTGTATCAGCAGGGGTATTACACACCTTCTGAGCCCTGGACCTCCCGGCCTGCCTCTGCCTTGGTGGCCAGAGGGCAGTGACAGCAGCTCTGGGAGCCTCCTGGTTCTCCAGGCTCCCATCTGCTGCAGTCTCTGCCTATTTCTTGCCATTCGCAGCCCTGGGCCGGGTGGTCTGGGTGGGGCACGGCCTGGCTAACACCTTGCTCCTTCCAGAGGGAGCCAGCACACTACTTTGGCTATGTGTACTTCAGACAGGTGAAGGACAGCTCTGTGAAGAGGGGCTACTTCCAGAAGGTGAGTTGCTGGGCTGCTGGGCTGGCGCCTTGGAGAGGCAGGAGCTGGCAGGCAGCAGAGGGACTGGGGGGCAGGCAAGGGGTCCTGAGCCTCCAGCAGTGCCCACTCCTCCTGCAGTGCCACCTGGGCTGTGTCCAGCTCTCCTTGCGGCCCCCCTGCCCTGTCCTTGCCCGGTGGAACCCAAGGCCCTTCTGTCCTGGTCCCAGGGGTTCCTGCCCCTCCCTGCTGGCTGGTGGGTCATCACACTGTCAGGGTCAGGACAGCCAAGCCTGGAAGCCATATGCCGACAGTGAAAGCTGCTCAGCCCCAGGGAGATCATTCTAGAAATCCTGGGCACCATGCGTTTCCCCCCGAAGGCCCTAGGGTCTGCCCCCGCCCCCATCGCCACCCAGGGAGTTCGGTGTTGGGTTTTCTCCTAATAATCCGGGGTCTGAGGCTGTTGGGGCAGCTGTCCTGTGGAGCTGGTGGGATGTACTACCCGGCCAGCTCCAGGTAAGCTTGACTTCAGGGCTCTCTGTGGGCTCCTGAGTGGCTGGGATGAGGCCTGGTGCTGGGGGCCTCTGACTAGCCCTGTGATCCCACAGTCTTTGGTGCTGGTGTCCCGCCTACCCTTTGTCCGGCTGTTCCAGGCGCTGCTAAGCCTGATTGCCCCCGAGTACTTTGACAAGCTGGCACCCTGCCTGGAAGCAGGTGAGTGGCCATCAGGCGTGTCCGTCGTGGTCTCATCATCCCAGCTGTGGCCCCTGGTGGGCCCGGCAGCAGCCTCTCCTTGGAGAGGGTCCTGACGCTAGCTACTGTATCCGCAGTGTGCAGTGAGATCGACCAGTGGCCGGTGCCCATGCCGGGGCAGACCCTGAACCTACCTGTCATGGGTGTTGTCGTCCAGGTGAGAGCCAGCTGGCTGGGAGCAGACTCTGCAGGTGCGTGGGGATGCCCTGCTCCCTCCGGCAGCTGCTCCCTCCTTCCCCAGGTGCACATCCCATCCAGGGTGGACAAGTCCGAGTCCAGTCCTCCGAAGCAGTGTGACCAAGAGGTGGGAGCCGAGACGGGGGCTGAGCCGAGAGAGCTGGGCTGCACCCGACCAAGTCCTGCTCCTGGGCTGGATGGTCACATCTGCCTCCCTGGTCCACCCTGTGGGGTTGTGAAACCCAGGCAAAGCCGTAGGCTGTGTCTTGGTGTAGGGCTGGGAGCTCCCCACCCTCCCCTGTGCTGTGAGGCAGGGGCTGCTTGGGGCCCAAGGGGTGCCAGCCTTGCCTTGGCCCTGACCTACCCTCTCCTCTCCTCAGAACCTGCTGCCAGCCCCAATGGTTCTTGCTAGCGTCCACGAGCTGGACCTGTTCAGGTGAGCGCCCTAGGATGCTGCACACTGCTTTGGGGGAGCTCAGCTGTGTGTGCATATGCGTGTATGTGTGTGCGTGTGTGTGCATGAGTGTGTGTGAGTACGTGTGTGTGTGTGCATGTGTGTGCGTGAGTGCGCGAGTGCATGTGAGTGCATGTGTGCACACAAATGTATGTGTGAGTGCATATGTGTGTGCGAGTGCGTGTGTGCATGTGTGTGCCTGAGTGTATGTGCATGTGTGCCTGAGTACATGTATGCATGTGTGTGTGCATGTGTATGTGTGAGTACACCTGTGTGCATGAGTGCCTGCATATGCATGTTATGTGTCTGCATGTGTGCACGAATACGTGTTTGTGAGTGTGTGTGTGTGCGTGAGTGCATGCATGTGCATGTGTGTGTTCATGTGTGTGTGCATGTGTGTGTGAATGCATGTTTGTGAGTGCATGTGTGCCCATGAGTGCATGCATGTGCATGCGAGTGCACGTGTGCATGTGTGTGTTCATGTGAGTGCATGTGTGTGCGTGAGTGCATGTGTGCATACATGTGTGCATGTGTATGTATGGCCAGTACCATGTGGGGACTGCCCAAGGGAGGCACCGCTCATCCTGAGTAACCCTTGGGGCAGTTCGGCAAGGAAGAAAGAATTGTGCAGAAGAGGAAGCAAGTGCCCACGTCTGCAGCCAGCAGAAATGGGCACAGTGGGCAGGAGGTTCTAGAAGACAGGTGTCAAGGAGAGGCTGCCAGGAGGGATTCAGTGCCTAAGGCCACCCTCTCTGCCTCTGGGCGAGTCTGCAAGGGGGCCTGGGCCTTGAGACCATCCTGCTCTGTGCTGGGCCCAGCAGGAGCTAGGGCTGCACTTGGATTGGAGCGGGCACAGGGTGACTGCAGGGGTCTGGGCAGGTATGCTCCCCAGCCCAGGTCAGCAGCCCCTGCCCCGGCTCTGGGGCCGTTTCACGACTGCTGGTCCCTCACAGGTTGGTCCAGGTTGAGTCCCCCCCCCGTTCCTGGGGCCAGGCCCAACACAGATAAACTATCAGAGCTTGGGGTGGCCATGGCAACCCAAGACACTCTCACATCCTCAGAAATCTGTCCTCACCCTGGGGCAATGTGCCGTGTTCACCAGTGCCTGGGCCTGGGCCAGCCTGTGCAAACGGGTGGGAGAGCAGGACCAGGGCCAGGAGTCTCAGCCCTGCCTGACCTTCCGGATCATCCTGCCCGGCGCCAGGTGCTTCCGGCCTGTGCTGACTCACGTGCAGACCCTGTGGGAGCTCATGCTCCTTGGGGAGCCCCTGCTAGTCCTGGCACCCTCGCCCGACGTGTCCTCGGAGATGGTGCTGGCCCTGACCAGGTACTGCCTTGCCTCAGTCCCGGCTGGGGGCGCTGGACCATCTTGGCTGTGCCTGGGCCACCCCTGCCTCACCTGCTCCTGCTGCCCCTGTCCACAGCTGCCTGCAGCCCCTGAGGTTCTGCTGCGACTTCCGCCCTTACTTCACCATCCATGACAGTGAGTTCAAGGAGTTTACCACACGCACGCAGGCCCCGTAAGTGCCGCCTCCACCCTGCCGCTCTTGCCCTCACTCCACCTCCTCGGACCTCTGTCTCTGCCTCTTCTCTCTCTCTCTCTCTGTCTAGACCGAACGTGGTCCTGGGAGTTACAAACCCTTTCTTTATCAAAACACTCCAGCACTGGCCCCATATCCTCCGAGTCGGGGAGCCCAAGATGTCAGGTAAGGCTCCTGGGGAGGTGCAGGGAGTGGTGCTGAGAAGCGTCATTGAGTGTGGAACCGCCTCAGAGCCTGTGGGGATGGCTAGAGCTGTGGGCACTGAGGCCTGGCCACCGGCGTGTTTCGTAGGAGACCTGCCTAAGCAAGTCAAGCTGAAAAAGCCTTCAAGGTTGAAGACCCTGGACACCAAGCCAGGTCTGTGCTCCCCTAGACCTGGAGCTCCTCCACTGTGGAGAGGCCTGTCTTGCATCTCACAGGTCTCCCGGGTGGGGCAGCCAGGCCTCCAGACCCTTGGTCCTCTTCTAGGACTCAGCAGCAGAGCTCAGAATCCTCAGGGGAGGAGGGCGCTCTCTTCAATGGGTCTCTGTCTGGGGTGGGGCAGGTGAGGTTTTCAGGTGCAGCCAAGGCCATGGGGCTGCAGGCAGATGAGACCCCACCCTGGCTCCTCTGTGGGCTGCAGGAGTGTGGGAGGGAGCCCCTCAAAGGGCAGGGTGCCAGCTGTGCCCTCCCGCCAGGCCTCTACACCGCTTACACAGCCTACCTCCACCGCGACAAGGCGCTGCTCAAACGGCTGCTCAAGGTATGGGCTGGTGGGTGGGGGCTGAGGATGCAGGGAGCCTGGTGTGGTGTGAGGCACAGCACGGGCCTTGCCCCTTCTTCCCTGCAGGGCGTGCAGAAGAAGCGGCCCTCAGATGTGCAGAGCGCCCTGCTGCGGCGGCACCTCCTGGAGCTCACACAGAGCTTCATCATCCCCTTGGTGAGGCATGGGCCTGGGGGGCACGGGGCTGGGG